TTGGAACATCCACTTCTGAAGCCGATGACGATGGCTTTACGGATGTCCTGAGAGATGTTTTTTTTTCCGAGGGGTCTGGCCATGTCTGTAAACAGTTTTAAATACATAGGAGCCAAAACCAACATTCTTAGAAACCATAATATCCAAAAATATAAAAATATGAAAAAAGTGAAAAAACGAAAAAATTGAAAAAATTGAAAAAAACAAAAAAATTCTGAAAATGATGCAATTTCCTTGTACGCAATTTGTCGTCACCGTGTACGACATGCACAGTAAAATTTTCAGATCGATCCCTTAAGTTTCAGCAAAGTTACTCTCAAAAAACCGTTTGCGAATACCTTTTTGGCCAGTACTGTACGCATCGATGAAACCGGGAAGTTTACTGAAAGTTTAAAGGGGAGTTCCTGACGATTTAAAGTGGTTGCAATGGAATATTTAATGGAAAAGGAACTGATCAACGAAATAGACATCATGGATTTATTGTATTGTTGTTTGGGGGTTTCCTCAAATGAGGTCAACTATCAGAGAGGGCTCGTTGAGCTGTGAGAGATGGATCAAAGATAATCGGGTTGGTGAATAGTAACCAGAGTCCGTTTCTTGTGTGTTTTGATAAACAAAATCTAGAAAACACAGGTGGGTTTTTTTAAATATGGAAAAACAAACATTTTTGGAAATCTAGGAAGGGAGCTAATGACGACACAGGAAATTTTTGCCGAAGCAGATGGTTCTAGTAGTCGGAAACTTGGAAAAAATCGAACTGAGAAAAAAACAATCAGTCTTTGATCCTTCTGAACCTTTGAAGTTCATGAGCTTGTGAAATTTGGGAAATTCGGATGCTCTGACTTGTGAGATATTGAGATCCTTAGTGGACAAAAGCAGGGATGTTTGCAACGGAATTAAGAGTTCCGAAAATTTGAATAGAAGTTAGGAATGAAATTCCGAAATAATGCCGAGGCTATTTTCGAAATCAGAGTTTTTGGGACTACGATATCGTGCGCTTATGTGATGGGAAAATGAGGTTTCAATTTTCCATAATTCTGAGGCCATATTCATGAACATTTTCCTTGGAAAACCATTTTCCCTTCAAAAATCAACTGAATTTTATTTTCCAAAAAAAAGGGAGCGTGAAAATGTACTGAACATTTTAAAAATGATTTTCCGACTCTCAGGGTCAGAAAATGACTTTTGAACTAAATTTTTACAAAAACTATGAACTGAAAATTTTTCATAATTAGTCACAATACTTAAAATTCCTAGCTCTATCCAATCATATCATTTGTGTCAAAACTCATAGTTTTTGAAATGAAGCGCAGCAAATTTTGAGTTCAAAATTAGATAATAATGTACTTAATATACTATTCTACGATCATATTACTTTTTTAGGATAAGCAATTTCATAAAAGTGAATGTAAACATGAAACGAAATTAGCATCCATTTTTCATTAAAATCGGAGGATTTTCCAAAAAGAAAACGATTTTTCTTTAATTTTCACGCTTTTCAGTTGATTTTTGGAAAGAAAACAATTTTCCATGGAAAATGTTCATGAATATTGCCTCTGAACTTCCGAACCATTCAAAATCGGAGCATTCCGAAATAGTGAAATTCCAAAGTTTTTAAAATTGGAATATTCCTAGATTCTGAAATTCTGAAACTTTTAGAAAACAAATATTCCGAATTGTTGAAATTTTTAAAATCGGAATATTCAATTTTTGAACTTTTGAGATAAAAAGAAACCAACAATCCAGTAGACACATCTCTTCCGGCGGAAATGCATCTTCTACCGGAGTTCACCTTTGAAATAATTCCATCAATTTCCTGCCATCTAGACCGAATACAAACTTCCGGAATTCGAGACAAAAACTCAATTAGTTTTCTACGCAAAATTTCAAACCAGCTGTGGGATCTTGATGAAACGAGATTCTGCAGAAAAAAGTATAGAGAAATTCGAATATTTTGACGCCAGACACTCTTGAAAAGTAATGCATATCTGAAGATGGTGATGATGCACTTTTCTCCAGAAATACCCTTTTTTCAATTTCAAGACCCAACTCCTTAAGGTTGGGTGCCCACGCGTGCTCCGGTCAGACGACCCGAATAAAACAAAGTTTTCATTGTTGACATAACCCAAATTCGTCGTTTTCCTCTCAAATGAATTTTATACGTTTTCATCATCTTGGTTCAGTTCTTTTTGTTTCTTCGTTTTCGAGGAATTAGATTTTGGATGAAAAAAGTAAGAAACAAAATGTATTTAGCACATGGCACATTTTCGAATTTTAGTTCTTGCTAAATTTAATTTTCAAAAAAATATCGTTATTAGGCCAGACAGATAATCATTATAACTATGAAAATATCATAGCAGGTTTTGCCGAACAGACTCTTTTCGTCACCATCATGATCAAATCGTGTATATCTCGTAAAAACACAAAGCAGTCAAGATTTTGGACGAAGTGAAAGAGCACTCAACCAATTAGTGAAGTCAAAAAAAAACTTTCGGAAATTACGGGAAAAAACGACTACGATCTGAGAGGACAAAAGAGAAAACAAATTTTTTCAGAGAATTTCAGGTTTTTTTTTTCAATTTTCAGAATGAGTCAGAATGAGATGAAATGGGAAGATTCAAAAATAAGATAAGTATAAGGGAATTAGGAGTCTGAAATTCTGTGAAAACCATGAGTAAGAATTAAAGGGACAAATGAATATTTGACTTCATCGGACCTCGGAATTCAGAATTTCAGACATTCAAGGTTCAATTTTCTCAGATTTTTTGTGCTAATTCCAAGAGAAATTCAATTGTTGATCCACAGAAAATGTGTGTAAAAGTTAGACTATGTAGCTGTGCTCAATTTTCTTTTTTTTTCCTGAATGAAAACGGTTAAGAATGAACCAGATTCTAAAACGGACCAAAAACGGTCCCCTGGCGGACCCTGCTATACTTTTTTTAGGATCAATATTTTTGACCAACTAAACTAGATATTATAGGATTTGGGGAGTACTGCAAAGTAAAACTATTTTAGAAATTATATCTTGCTTATGAACAAAATTACAGACTAAACAGGCCAAAACAACTGCCATAACCATATGGCTTGTAACTTTTCTCGTACACCATAGTGTTTTTAAAACGTATCATTTTGTAGTGTTCGTTTAGTTTTACTATATCTAATTTAGATGATTGAAAAATAATGATCCTAAAAGAAACTATGGGAAAGCATTAAACCGGAAGGGGAATTTTCATCATCAAGCCTCTGAATCCTTACTATTAGAATCAGAAAACTGCAAAATCACGGACTTTAGATTCCGGATCTCAGAATTTCAAGTGGTTAGATTACACACAAAATCTCTCAAGGACTGAAAGTTTCTGTTTTTGGTTTTTGTTAACTAAACTATTCCAAAGTCTCAACTGTTATAAATCACCTGTTCAATTAAGAAATGCTCCGTTTCGTCACGAAATTGTTTTTGATCTTTCACTTCATACCCAAATCATTAAGATACTCCATTCTCCAAAAACTATTAAAATTAGTACGAGTTCTCATGAAAGTCATAAAACAACTCTAAGTATTTTACAGAGACCATAAAAGTAAACAAGCAAAACAAGTGAATTAGATGCCTTTCTCTCTCTCTCTCTCTCTCTCTCTCTCTCTCTCTCAGTTTAACTCGATTACTTGTCCCTCTTCCGTTGGTCACTCTCTGAAGAGTCGACCACATGGGTTCAGTCTACAACCACTTGTGACGTGGCACTCCTTCAAAATTGGAAATTTGTTTGCTTTTTCTAGATAAAATTAAACTAAAACTTTTAAAGGAAAAGTACGTCATGAGGTGACGAAAGGGTTCTCTGGAAGTGGTGCGAGGAGAAATGGATTCAGAATTTCGCACGTTCAGAATAAAAAAGAGATGACGTGCACGAATGGAACAGAAAGGATGGGAACAGGTGGAAAGGGACAATCTATTCAGATGGCATTTTCAAGAGGGGTTTTAATGTTTTTGGGAATAGATGGACAAAGATTGGAAAAGAGTCTGAAAATAGGTTTTACTTTTTTCAGAATGTAATCGTATCAGATTCTGAAAAAAAGATTTTATGCGCTTTCAATACTGTTCGAAATCAAGAAACTTCTGAATTCTTTCTGCTTTCTAATTTTACATAAAAGAGTGTTTGTTGTTGTGGGACCTTTGCCCACGACCACCGGCGTTTCTCTTCCACATCCCTAAATTTTTTCGGTAGCTACCGTATCCTTTGAACCTATTTTCTCGATTTTTCGACAATGTTCCCTGTTGTTTTTGAATTTAAATCGGAAACATAGGAACTAAAGTGATGAAAATAATCGAAAAAAAACGACGAAATCGACGAAAACTTGAGATAATAATAAAAAATTCTTAAAATAAGTTGCAAAAATGTATATGGACCATAAAATGTCAATTGTGAGGAATCCTTTGCTGGAATCTTCATAAACATGCAATTGATAAGAAAAAAGTGGACGACCCGTCATCGAAACCGAATTCTCGGAATGGTCCAGCTTCACTGGAACCAGTTCTCCCTTCTTCCGCCCAATCATCGTTCGCATTCCGATTTATCACTACATTCTTTACTTGCGTTTTACATGTTTTAAACTGTTTCTGTTTTTCTCGGAATTTTTACACTTTTTTTGCTTGTGTCCTATTTTAAATTCTGCGGAGGCATGCGGTGGGGCGGAAAATAAAAATCGAATATTTTCGGATGCATGAAAATTGAAAATGTTAAGTGTCTGAGTCACAAAATTGACAATTGAACTAGGCGAATCGTTATGGATTCAGGAAAAAACAATGTTTTCAGGAGAGGATGCTTTTTCAATTTTTTTTTTCAAGGGAAGTGTGTCGAGTGACGAAATTCCAAATGAGGCCCGCTGAAAAAGTTTGAAAAGCTTGAGTGTGGCTGCATTAAAAAAATGCGAAAAAATTTAATTTGAGCGATGAATACGAAAATAAGACATGAAACAAAAAAGTGATATATTTAGTACAGGCAAATGGTTCAAAGATCCAGTTCCTCATCGGAGTCCAACTCGTTGCGACGACGATCGAACTTGACTGATGTGGCTTTTTGGGTTTGAGCGGAGACACGTTCCATCAACGCCTTCAATCCATCGTCGCTCATTTTTCCGGAGAGTTGTCCTCTTCTGGAAAATTTCAAATTTTTAAATTTTCAATCAGTCAATTCTCTTACCTGGCCATGTTAATCAATGCAGCTTCAACCATTTGAGCCTTTTCCGGCTTGGCTACGGCCAGGTTGCTCAATCTTTGCATCGCGGCCTGGTCGAGAATCTAAAAAAAACCGTGGTTTATTTAGGCTGTTGACATTTTCTCACCTGAGAAATCATGCTGTTTTTAGCAGTCTCTTGATTCTCTGCTTGTTGCCGAGCTTTGTCTTGAGCATCCTGAATTTTTCACATGTTTTAGAATTGGTTAACGCTCTTACATGAGATTGCTGAGGTGCTGATACTCCTTGGGCTTCCATTCTTGACGGGATTTGAGGGAACTGAAATATATAATTGTATTGATGACTGAACTTGAAGTGAAGTTTGATTAAAATAAGTCGTATTCTCGAGAATTCGATTGAGAAAGAGACCCCGACCCCCAAATTGCAGACGCGCTCTACTGTCCGGTGTCTGCGTCTATTGCTTTCCAGTTGTGTCTCACATACCTATGTCAAACGATGCAAAGAAATTCAGATTCGATTTCAGCGACTAAATAACAAATGGAAAAAAAAATCTGAAACTATATTATGCTTGTCTGAGAAAAAAAAGGGTGAGACGCAGAGAAATAGTGTCCGCGTCTCCACTTAATATGTGCTATTTAGGCTCTCCGCTTCGATATAACTACCGTATTCAGACTGCAAAAAATACTCTCTAACCTTTTTTTTCTCAGACAATCATAATATCAAAGAAGAAAAAAAAACAATTGAACTGAAAATTTATAAGTGCTACAGTAGGACTACAATGTTCAATTCGGTGAGAAACCACAAGCCCACTGGCTAGCATGCACCTTTAATACCGTACTTGACTCAGAACTTCCATTTTGAAAATAGACTTTTGCTCAGCTTTCTTTTTTCCTGTAAACCACTTATTGCCTCATTCTTTTCTCTAAAACCGTCGACAATGAAAAATAAAAAGAATAAGAATAAGGTAGAGCTCTTGGAAATCGAATGTGAACGTTAAAAACGAATTTTTAGAGCGGAAACCGCCGATCCCGGTCGAGTCAACCACCTAAAAAAGAAGTACCGGAGGAGAAAAGCGAAACTGAAATAGTTCCGGAGCTTCCGCCTCCTACTGACGTTACCGAGATAAACGAAGAAGTCACTGAAAACACCGATTTGCCTCTCGTGACCTCGGAAAAAGTTGATGTCTCATCTCAGGAACCAGTTGTTGTTGATGAGGAAAAGCAAAAAGAAAACGAATTGGACAAAAGCAAGACTGAACAAGTAGAAGAGGCTATTCAAGAGATCGAGCAAGAAGAAAAAGTGGATGTTGAAAACCTCGAAGATAAAGAAGAAGAGGAGCACGTGGATGAATTAGAGGTAGCCGAGGAAGGCGCGGAGGAAGGAAACGATAGTGTCGATAGTGGTAACTCACAAAAAAGGACACAATCTGATGATGAGACAAGCGTGGCCGTTTCGGAGCCTGAAGTCTGGACAAACTATGACTATGATAGAAAAGTACCTCGAGATCATGATAATTTTTGTTTTATTGAAATAACTTCAGGCTGAAGAATACGATGTCGATCAGATAATATTCTGGAAGTCATACAGAAAGAAATATTCAGCGGTTCTTCGTTTCGTCGATCCAGAATTCAGATACATCGCAGAAATCGGCCCATCTGCGACGTTCGATTCTGAAGGCGTCGACAAGATGATTGCCAAAATGGAAGAGCTCGGAATCCAGAACGCTTGGCCTTTTGATACAAATTTCACAGCAACAACCAAAGAGCTTCGTCAGTTTCTCTCTGTGAGTAAGCATACTTTTTTCTGTTTCTAAATGAAACCTTTTTAAGGAAGTACTTGATAAAATAAAGTTCTGCTTGAGACTGGCTTGTGCAGAACGCGGTTACAAATTCAAGAGCGGGAATTCCAATTTTGCTCCGATATCTAGTGTTTGGGGAGAAGAAATCGATCCTATTCTGGAATTGAAAACATTAAAAGTTATTGTTGACAAGATGAAGGAACCTCTAATGAGAGATGAAGCTGAAGGACAAGAAGCACGTTTTTGGGCAGAGACCGCTAATATTTTCCAATTTGTTATGCCAGCTTTGGAAATATTCGATTCAAAAACGTTGTCTGAGAATAGTATCTCTGATTGCATGAGCTCGATTCATGGCCGTAAAGATCTTGGTTTTGAGATTTCCGAAAAAGAAGTCGACGAGGTAGACGCTATTTATCTTTTCGATGCATAACATTTACTTTTGTAGATGCTGGAACGCAGTTTCAATGAATCAGGGTTTGGAGAGTTCCCACCAACAGCTCTATTCGCTCCAGAAGTTTTCAAGACTGTAAATCAGCTGAAAATGTATTTTTCCCTCATCAGACTATGAAAGTTTATAATTTGTAGGATCTTTAATCAAATTGAACAAATGTCAAAAGTCGTTGATGTTCGTGTGAAATTATCTGCGATTCAAATGATCACACGTATCTTCGAACAGATCAGTGATGATGATGCTGTTTCTGTGTTAGAGGAATACAAAGGTCAAAATCCAGTTACAATCGAGAAGATGTTTGGAATCGATCCACATAAATTTGAAATCAACAGAGACTCGAAACGTACCCAATACTTGAAACTTTTCTTTACAATTCTCGGGGAAAATCCGAAAGAAGAGGTTGATAGTTTCCGATTTTATCCCTCACATAAACATATTTTCATTGCAGTTCGAATTTTCAACGGAACGCCTTACTGCCGCGTTCAAATGTTTGTACTTGGTTTTTGATCCCTTTGAGGTCAACATGATTCTTTTCAAAATCATCGGTACTCGAATCAGAGAAAATCATATTCTGGACAAAGACCGGAAGAAGCTAATTGATGTTCTTTTGATACTTCCGGAATTTCTGATCAAGCGATTAGAAATCGGACCCAAGTTCATTAATGGAGAGGTTTCAGACGACAATCAAGTGAGCATGTATTTCCAGTTGATGACAGTTCTGAAAAATGGGAATAAAGACCAAATAGACAAGTTTGGAAATTTTGTCGCCTGTAAGTGGCACAGGAATGTTTTGTGGATTATTCTCGGATTTCAGTTGCAGCTAATTCGGACAAAACTGCCATCTTAGTAAGCGCAACAAAGGCATTCAGAATGGTAATGAAGTGTGTCGAAACTGGGACTTGCCGGACGATGGCGATAGAAGTTCTGAAATCTCTTGCTTACCGCTGTTCGAGCTTCCTTCCAAATGAGTTCTACGAGGATTTGATTATTTTCGCACTTTCGAAGTACAGCTTTCCGGATGAGAAACCGGTTGAGAGTAAATATCAGTTCATTGGTATGGTGGTTGTAGTCATGTTCATACTTTGATCGGTTGAAATTTCCAGATATCGTTTTCAATGTCATCAATCAACACAAAGACGCTCTAGAAGAGGTTTTGAAGGGACCAAGCCTAAAAGAAAAGTGGACGGTTAGCGCCGTTACTTTATTTTGAAAAACATATTGGTGTTTACTTTTTAGGACATGGGACATCATTGGTACACAGTTCTATATCTGACTCACAAATTCCCAGTTCTCAAAGATGCGACCCCTGTTCCACCACAGTATCCATGGCTTTCGGCGGGTGGTTGGACTGGAGAAGAGCAAGATAAGACGGAACTGAAGAACTATGTTTTTCTGGCGAAAGTTCCCACGGCGTGGCCGAACTGTACAGACATGAAAATCGTCGAAGACCTCGTTTCAGGTTAATTCCATTGATATACCGTTTACCTCACACAGAAGCCCACTCAAACCGTCAACTTCGCGCTCGATTATGTCGGTTCATGTGAAAGATATCAAAGTTTTTAAAATTAGTAAAATGTTGGTGATATTATGATATTTAAGTAATTTTTAGTTGACAAGTTTTTGATGTTTTTCACAGAAAAAATATATGTGCTCAAAGTTGACGGGTTCCTATTAGACAGGGCTGTCCAAAACGGCGGCCGGGCCTCGGCCGGCCTCGAAAAAGCCTCGGCCGAAGAAAAAAAGCCTCGGCGCGCTCCATTGAGAAAAAGCCTCGCGAGGCCTCGGCCGGCCGAGGCCGGCCTCGCAAATGTGACTACGGTCCGCAAGTCGCATATTTTACGACAAGTTGCGTTTTTTTTTTTTGTTTTTTCTCGCTCTTTTTCAGCAAATCACGCATTTTTCGAGAGTTTTCTCGATTTTTCCATCGATCTGTGGCGACATGAACATTTCGAACGGCAGTGTTGGTCGGTTTAAGCCGATTTATTCATTTGTTATAAGCGTTATTCAATTTCAGACACAATTCAGATGCCTCAATGGTTCATTGATCCCAACAAAACCGATTGTGAATTAGTGATAAAGAACAAAAGAACAATCGTCAGAGCCTGGACTTAAAAATGCTGGAAAAGTTGATGATTCTCAAAGAAAAAGATCGATTCGACACAGGCG